CCTCATTTTGCATTCTTAATCATAATATAAATAAGAAGATGTGATATGAGTGCCAATGAGATAACTCTCCATCCAAGTCACAATGTATAAAAAGTAAACAATTATAGGTCAAAGTATGGCCTTCAACACAGAGCCTTGGCTCACACCAAACAGCAAGCTATAACATGTATAAAGGGCCCCAAAATGACTAGTGTAAAACAATTCAAACAGGAAAACCAACAGTCTAATCTATATAAAAAATGAGAAAAGAGAAACAATTATGAACCATACCAACAAACGACAACCACTCAACAACAGGCTCCTGACTTAGGACAGGTGCATACAAATGCAGCAGGTTTAAACATTTTAACAGGCGCCAACCTTCACCCTAACCTGAGATGGTAGTGTAACATTACAACATAAAAAGACACACAATAAAATATCAATTGAAATGGCTTAACTTGATCAAATAAGACTTTTAAACAAAAACAAGTAAACATACACTGAACGAATAAGCTTGGTTACCTGTTCTTTTTCCCTAGATTTAAAGTCTCTTTTATGTTAAAGTTACATATATTGTTGCCTCATGGTTTTGTAAGGCGTTGATTTAGATTAAAAAGTTTGCAGTTGTTAGGATGTACAATGTAATTATAGTTATATTCCACAGTGATAGAATGTTAACACTTTAAACAGATACAGTATACATATACATGTACCTGACTTGAAAACAAATTAGCTAAAGTGGTCTTTATTCTACCATGTGTCTATTGAAATATCAAGAGTTTTTATCAGAGGAAACTTTGAATAATGAATTAAGATTGGGAAAACTCTGATATCCATAGTGTATATTACAGCTTTCATTTCTGGACTTCATGCTGTTGTATTACATGTAGTACATTTCTGGACTTTTGGGGCCCTTTATAGCTTACTGTTCGGTGTGAGCCAAGGCTCCGTGTTGAAGACCGTACTGTGACCTATAATGGTTTACTTTTATAAATTTTGACTTGGATGGAGAGTTGTCTCATTGGCACTCATACCACATCTTCTTATATCTATTCATACAATTGTATTGGTACATTTCTTGGGTTTATACAATTGTATTGGTACATTTCTGGACTTCATACAATTGTATTTGTACATTCCTAAGACAGACATAAGACGTTTTATTTCACTAAAGCCCCCACATGGGGTATGTTAGTTATAGTACAACATTTTAACAAACAATAAATGTGTGAACTTATTTACATTAGTACAACATTGTAAACAAAGGTGCAATGATAGTATATATAATGAATACTTATATGTGACAGGAAGTACAAATTATAATAACATGATTCAGCACATGTATAAAAAGGTTTTAATAAAAAATTTGCAAAATTTTGCTATTCCAGTAAGTGTAAATAAATCTGATGTATTCATCAGTTCTTTAAATTTTAAATCATTTGGGTTATTACATTTATTTAAAGGTAAAATTTTAGCTCTTACAGTGTTGAAAAAGGTACATTTGAATACTGTAAATTCAGAAATTATTGTGAGGTTTTTATTAATGCGAATAATGCGACTCCTTGAACATGTGTTGAGTATCGCAATAACAAGAACTTGCATTCTGATATCTGGTACATATATGTATGTAGCTTTTCCTAAAATCGCAATGATTAAAATCGCATTTTTGTTCCTTCTTCAAAAATCGCAATGATAAATGCACGCAATAATTTCTGAATTTACAGTATGTAATGAAACTCTCATCACCAAGTTCATTAGCATTACAGAGATTACAATGTCTTTCAGTTCTATTCCTTGACTTTATACAATTGTATTGGTATATTTCTGGTTATCTCCCTTGTCACATTGCACTTTTCTATCAAAAAATGTGAAGAAACAGGAAGATTCTTGCTAATTCATTGGATATGAACATCATGAACTGGTTTGAAAAGTTTTTATATTTTTTTTTCTTTTTACATTTGAAAGTGGTGTAAATAAATGTTTTTCGTAGATAATCAAACTTGTTGGGCTGCTGTCTCGTTCTTACATTGTCTTTATTTTCGGTGTAATTTTTATAAGCCGGTTTTCAAGGGAAAAATGTGATTTTTTGAAATGGTGGAATTCAATGGCATTCACTGTCAATGGATGGGCAGCTGTCAACAGTTTCTGTGCAATAACTCATGAACTGTTAAATCAATATTTTTCAAATTTGAATATATTACTGATGAAAAAATGGAGGTCAACATGGATATTGACTATTTTTACTTTAATCGTTCAGGACAAATGATCCTTAAGAGTTGATTCATTTAGCTTGGAAAATTAAACTCAGAGAGCCTGAAAGGGTCATACATTATAATACATCATTGTCCTTTGAACTAGCTGCCCTCTGTTCAACCTTCAAAATACAGATAACCCAGTTTGGTGTCAATTTGACAGCCCATTTCTTGTTCATAATTGTCTCACCTCATGCAGATCATCACTGACCATGTAGTGGTCTAATGTGTATTGTGTCTCCTATAGACATGATATAGTTTATCAAATGTTATATACAGGATATCTGTAGTTTAAGATTCATTAGAGGAAATTAAAATGAGTCTTGTTTGCATAGATCTGTAAAATTCAATGTTAGCCATCTAGAATTATTGACACACATACATTATATGTATAGTTATCATTATATCAAGTGTATAATGTAAAGAAAATCAAATATCTGAGTGATACATGAGTAGCTAATCTGTGTATATATCTTCTTGAATTCCCTATTGATTAAGTTCATTGACAAGAGTTTGTAGTAAAGCACCATTGATTTTGTTAGGACATGGAATGGATTTCTCTCATCATTGATTGATTGTTTATAATTCTTCTTTAAAGTAAGGCTGTGGAATAAAATCAAATATCTATTAAATGATCTTGTCACAAAGTGAAGCTGACCATTGTTTTAAGGATACATGTAATATAATCATGATAATGGACCAATTACATTTTTTGTACAAAGTCCAACATTGTGGTCAATTAAATGCATAAAATACATTAACACTGTAGTATTTAAAATCTTAAACCACTCACATTTTTCTAATAAATGGAGTGCTTTTGCAGTTAACATTTAGATACAGTCTAAGATTTTTAGGACATAAAAAAAATAATTTCAAACCATCATGGAATGTTATGACTTTGACAAAAACTTCTTAAAGATAAAGAAATAGCATCTGAAGAAAAAAATGATTAAAAAAAATAATGTAGTTTTCCTGATAAATGGAATTAGACTTGTTTGTTTTTAAATCATCCGATCTCAAATTATATAAATCCATAAATATTACTTAAAAATTGGTATGATGTTGATACATAAGTTTCTGTTTTGATGATTGTGAAATAACAATAGAGCTACCAACTTTGTTTTTACTGTATGCATCATTCAAAGTGGTGCTCTACAAAATGTAGGTGATATTATACCTAAAAATAAGAGGAACATGTACATGATCAATTGTAACTTACCTCTTATTTTAGGTATATTTTGTAATTTGTAAGCTGGAAAATGTTGATTTTTGAATGAATGTACGAGATTGGTTGATACACACAATAAAAAAACCAAAGTCATTTATCATTATATGTATTTATATCAATCAAACCAAGGATGTATAACTAACATAATATACGTCCTTGATCAAATGAACATTTATGTATCAATTGTATATGATAGATCTATGGATTTGTTATTGGAAATGAGATGATTTTAAGACATGCAAGACAAGTTTAAGAATATTTTTTGACAATTTGATGTGTTTTCTATAAAAATGAACTTCTACTTTGAAAGAATGAATTCTATAATATTTGAGAAAATAAAAGAGATATATCTATCAATATTTTTTTTTCAATATTTAGTTGTTGGTCAACAATCCAAATTTGTATGCAACGTTTTGCTTAAATCTTTGATATAGCCCATTTACTGTGAAAGTAGCTTTTCTTAATGCCTAGTTTTTTATGTTAATTTCTTAAGTTTTTTTATCAACTGAGGGTGATTACTCAAAGATTGCAAAAAATGGGCTCAATATTACACTATAAATTATGTGCCTTTTGCATACATCATGTACATGATTACAAATGTACATGTAAAACATTTTTTGATGAAGTTAAACACCTTACCATACACACTGAACATCAATAACATCTGTTAAAAATTAAAACATCATTTATGTATTGAATTTGTACAGGTTATTTATCATTTAATTCTCATTTATGCCTCATAGAATTTTAATAACCTATGTCAGTATTTTGTTTTGCTCAGTATTATCAACTTTTACCAATATTTCCCTCTGGGCTGGGCAATACATTTAAACCCTTGGTTTCCTAACCTTGCCTATCTATGGTTTGTTGGTCGCTGTTAGTCTTGAGTTAGATGTCAAAAGTTATACAAATTACCTGACATTAGTCTCTTAGTCCCTCAAATTGATTTTGCATTTGACAGGACTAATAAGTTTTCTATAGTTTGTTAGATTTTGTCCGACTTTAGACCTTTAAACTGATTATTATGTTTTACAGCTCTATTGACCTTCCTATGTTCTGTTTGAATTTAGTTTCTTACATTCATCATGTTCATAAGACCTTTAAACTGATTATTATGTTTTACAGCTCTATTGACCTTCCTATGTTCTGTTTGAATTTAGTTTCACATTCATCATGTTCATAAGACCTTTAAGGTGGTACCTAACACTACAGGGAGATAACTCTGTAAAAATCAGCTAAATGTTTTAATCACGTTGTATTGTTGTAGAAAATATTAAGCTTCTCAATGATCAAAATTAGTGTTTGTCAAACTGCTATATAACCAATGAAATTTTTCTGATAAAGTGGTTGGTTCAAATTTTTTGAAATTTTTATATTTTTGTCAAAGGGTCAAAGTAAACATTTTGTCAAAATTTTATGAAAATTAAACGAGCCAAATTAATATTAGTCAAGATGTTGGGTACCACCTTAAACTGATTGTTATGTTTTTCCACAGTTTAGACCTTTATAAATATTATACTGATTATTATGTTTTACAGCCCTATGGACCTTCCTATGGTTTGTTGGATTCTGTTATATGACTGATGCATGGAGAAGATCTGAAGATCATGCTTCTTATATAGCACCTAATGGTTATGGCAAGGATCATATTCAAGCTGCAATAGCATTTTCTTTCTTCTCAATTATAACTTGGGTATGTTTAGGTTAAGTGCAAATTATATCATTTTCAATAAATTGGAAATTTTTGTTTTTTAAATTAATTGTAAACATGATAAAGGGAAACTAGTTGTACCTGAAACATAAGTAAAGACATATTATAAACACTAAAAGTTCAATGGACACAAGAGAAATTTTTATAAGGTCAAAGTAGACAATGTGGTGCAGACCAAACTGCTGGTCAGTTTCATAAATTTGTGTTACTATTAGTAATCTTCAAAGAAGCATTGAAAGTGGAAAAGTGGTCATTTTAATTCAATGAGAGATGTATGCTTCACTTAAAAGTGCCTTGGTTGCACAATATGGTCTGTTAATTAATGGCTGAGCCATTGGTAATATATTCAAACGCTAACTGACAGTAGAGTGTTCATACTTTGAAATGTTAATGGCTGTAAACAACATTTCAATGAAAAATATGGCATTGTGATTCAGGGGCATTCGAATAAAATTCAAATAAATTCATTGAAGTTTGAAAAGAACATCAATTGATTTAAAATATAAAAAATATTAATTTGCATGGTAATTTAATTTGAATACCCTCAGTAAAGAGATATATGAATTTTTGATTGGTGCTTTAATTGTAGGGAGGACTTACCTTCTTTGCTGTAAGACGTTACCGTGAGGGTGTGACAGAAACCTTCCAAGAAGGATACAATCCAGAGCAGAATGCTTCATCACCATACTCATCATTCCCCGGTAGTGACACCGGGGATCCTTACCAGGCACCTTTTGGAGGCCAGAAAGAAGCCCCTGAATATCAACCTCCGACATACTGATCAGCTGTATACTTTAGAGATATATATGTGTTAGATACATTAGGTCAGTGGGAGCACCAAATATTACTGTGTATGTATGCAAGGAACCAATGATTTGGTGCTGTCATGTCAGTAGCTAACTTATTTATTGTATGTATGAGTATAAAGGTTGTGCATTCTTAATTTATTTATCAAAATTATCAAAACTAACAAAGAATGGATTTTATGTACCAGGTTTAATTAGCCGAAAAGTTGTGTAGGAATGTGCTGAATGGCAAGTGAAATTTTGTGTTTTATTCATATCAGATTTGTACACAATTGCACATACACAAAGAGTAATTTTTTTCTGAACTTGTTTTTCTTTTGTATTAAACTAAAATATGTTTTGTCAGGAAGAAAATGGAAATAAATAAATAGTTGAACCAACATATAAAATCTTATTTATACAAAAATAACTGAACTTTCGCGAAATACATTAATTTATAATGAATTCTTAATTTGCCTGGTATCCTTCAGATTATTGTCCCCCTGTTGTGGAACCAGGGACATGTAATACTAAGCATCTGCCAGTTTTATAAGTGAAATCACATTTACATTTTTTGTCAGTTTTTTAATGAAATGTGTATCAATGGTTTATATTAGCAATGTTTTAGAAAAAATTCAAAATCAACACCTATTAACTATTTTTAAAGGAGTTATGCCAATCATTGCCCATGAAAATGGAAAAGCTATGGAAATTTGCAGCGTTAGCAATCTCAAGACTACATTTCTTGATGGATTTTGATGAAATTTTATCAAAGTGCTATCCTTTTTTTTTTTAAATTACACTGTAAGCATTCTCATGCCATTATTTCTTGTCAGATTTATATGAGAAAGTTCAAAAGAACAAAACAAAATAAGTGGAGTAATTGCTGATAAAATATGTGCTTCAGCTGGTGACATGGCAAGGCCGTTTTTTTTTAGTTTTTTGTTATATTTGGGTGTAAAATATATTGAGTATTGTATACATAGAGAACATTTTTTGCATTACATTTAGAAACATCACTGTTATTGAAGTTTACAACAAACACCACTGTAGAAAATATACTTTAGGTATATAAAACTGGAGAAAATAGTAACATAATAGTTCATATAGTAACATGTAAACATTGATATTGATGAAATAAATGTCCTAGATAGTGCAATAAATGTTATAGGAGAAATCAATGGTGTTGTAAGAAGCATTTTATCACTTTATTTTACTCAGTAAATAACTACATTGATATTTTATCAAATAACAGATACATATACATCAGATCTTAAGGAAAATAGGAATTCTTCCCTTAAAACAACAGAGAAAGATATTATATATAAAGTTTTATTAGAATAACAGATAATACTATATGATTTCAGTCTGACAAAGATAAATGATGTGCTGAATATTTGATCAGAAATATATTATGATTTGAAAGACTGTGCAAGTCAGATTTAAAGCATTCTATAGAATTATTGTGATGAATGTTGTTCCAAGGTAGAATGATGTATTGGTTTACTCATGCAATCCACTTTTGATAATGTTTGTCACAATATATATAATTACTCTGTTATTGTATGACAAATATTTTAAAATGACAAAAAACACCATGTCTACTTGCTAATGATGCCATCCATTATTTCAAAGTTATAATTGTCTACTTGCTAATGATGCCATCCATTATTTTAAAGTTATAATTGTCTACTTGCTAATGATGCCATCCATTATTTTAAAGTTATAATACACTGGGTGTAGTGCTTCGAATTATTGCACATGAATTTTGGTTATGTTCTATTGTGAATATTACTTTACTCTACAAAAATGATATACATGTAATCTATACTTACCAAGTCTATCTACAGTTATTTTCCATTTATATATAATTTTGTATAACCATTAATGTGATAATCAAATTTTTTTTTTGATTGTTATAGATTTTAATTAAAAGGGAGTATTTTCTTTGTTACTTGGTTATGAATGAGTGATTCATATTTTTTTGTATATAAATCATCATTCCATAGTTTGTTTTGTTACTATACATTCCAGCTGGTTGGTTTTCATTTACATGTGAATGCTATATATACAAATGCTTTTGTATGCTATTTAGATCTATTGACTTGCTAAGGGTATTGGAAATCCTCTGTTCCAGTTTAGCCTGAGGTCTCACAGATTTGGTATTAAATTTAAAATAAACATTCAATGTAAAATATAAAAAGAAATTTAATTAGGCCATTCATTCTTTTATAGTTTCAGACTTTGGTGAAGATTTAAATGGTTATTTAATAAGAAATGTAATGCCAAAATTTATGATGACAAATCTTTTTCAATTGTCAAATTTCTTATTATCCAGCCATTATTTTTTTATTCCGAAAAAATGTTTACTGTTCCAATAAAATTTAGTATTCATCTGTTGATCAAGGTCTGCATTTCTGTTAAATAAATCCAATGTAATAATTGATTGTATGCTAAGAGACATAACAAAACTTTAAAGAAACAGAGGATGTTTCAAATGCCATAGATTGGAGTCAATATATTTTCATGGACCTGCTTTCTTTTAGTAGTTTTAGCAAAGGGACATAACTGAGTTTTAGAGGACATGTGATATGTCAATTAATCTTGTATCAGTGTCAGGTTTAAAGATTAACATTTTTTATTGATGTTTTGATTGCATAATATTATAATATAAGTATTGCATAAAGAAATTTATTTGCCAAAATTTTATACTGTTCAATGTACTAACTTGAGTCAATGATTTGTTTTTGGATCTAACACTATACGTAAGAATGACTTGTTTAATAGTAAAAGGTACACCCACTTACTTGTGTTATGAATTACAGCTCTACAAACAATTTTTGTGTTTTTCAAAGAAATCCATGCATTTTACCAAAAATTTGATTGATTGTTAAAAATTAAATGATTGTTAACTTTGAATAACATTCAGGTGTGTAATGATTAAGGGTAAATGTATATTTATGTATGTTATATTTTATTTTATTCTTATGTTTTGCTTCAATCTAAACTTAGAATGAAAAACCTTATGAAGATTTTCTTTGAGATTTGTTATTTTTGCTGATACATTTTGTGGTAAATGGCTGGTTTTTTTTTTTATTTAATTCTAAAGACTATTAGACTATTAGAGATATTGTAATTCCAATCTTATTTACTTTTGTTTATTCTGTTAAATAGAAGTTTATCATGTTTTTATGTCTACTCAGTTTGGTAATAAAAGTTGCTTAATATTTCTTTCAGTTTTGTTTTGTTTTTTGTATTTTACGTTTAGTTTCGTTAGAAAAGTTTTATAAGTATATTGAATACTTTTCTTAAGATGGATTTATCAATGTCAAAATAATTATCAATAATTTTACATTTACAAGATTTGAAGAATCTATAGATTAGCCTGCATTAATTCTAAAAAAGCCAAAAGTTTTGTTGCCAAATATACATTAATGCATAGACAACTTGTTATCATTGACTTTCTATACATAGAAGGGATGAGGCATCTCGTAACACACTGTTGAAAATCTTTCCACATACACCTTGATCTTTTCCTATACACCTGTACTATTAAAGTAGAATAACATATACACATACACTTTTAAAATGCATTTCAATATCTTTTCTAGGAAATTAAACAACAACAGCATAATTATTGTCTTACAGTTTCAGGAGTTAAATCTGTTATGATTTTATTGACACAGTATCTTCTTATCTAGATTGATTTGTGTGTTATAACTCTGAAAATTTTATAAAGCAGATTCGAAATTCACAGGTACTGTTTGAGAAACACTAGAAGAATGAATTCCCCTTGATATACATTTATTAACATTGTATTGTGTGATTATTATGGTAGTACATGTTGTTTTCTTACTGTTTGTTATATTAATACACAACTAATACTTTATATAGTTTTTGTCATTGCATCCATTGCAGAAACTTCAACAATATCTTTAGATGTATATAGACACAGTAAGTGTCTAAAGTTTCATGTTTGGTTCTACATATCCAATCCCTTTACTAAACAAGGAGGATTTTTCTGATCTTTATATCCATGACTTGTGCCAGCATAATGTCAATAATGCAAAAAAAGAGTCAGAAGAAACCAATATAACATTAAAATGTCACAAGTCGAAGAAAAATTGACATAGCCATGGCAAAACAAAAACAAGTTCACAAAATACTGCATAAAATACTAAAAACAGAGCAACACCATCCCCAACAAAAATTGGGAGTTCCTGCTCCACATGTGGCACCCGTTGAGTTGCTCATGCATGTACAAATCTGGTAACAAGTCTCATTGGATGTTGTCACAAGCAACGGAACACAACAGGGTTTGTTGTTAAGACAATTGAAGCATTCCGTGGTCGACTTCTGTGACAAAGATATTCAATAACGATCTTCCAACTAGTGATGGCTTTCTGTAAAAAGTTTTAAAGGATGACTTCAACTTTACCACTAGGAACCTATGCTTCAACTGCTTACTTGTAAGCAGCAACCCTCTGTCAAGAAATGATAGGAAACACAAGCTCTGAAATATATCAAATAGGAGCTATATATTCCATATGCAGGCATTGCTGAAATGTTGCTAATAGAAATGAAAAGGTCATAATAGGGAAGCTGACATCATTCCTTTTGTCGTAAAGTTTTGTTTTTAACTGGTTCTCGTTGGACAATTTTTGGAAAATGACGCTATCAGCGGCATGTTTCCGATACCATTGACCAGAACTAACGGAAGTTGAATATGCCTCCGCCTACCGCACTCGGTTTCATATTTACTATTTTACATACTAACTGGAATCTGCTTGTATTACGCTACACTCGAACAAAGTGTTGTAGTCGGACGGGATCCAGCTTACATACGTTATTTTATTTACCAAAAAGATATCTTGACCTGTCCATATGTTTTTTGTTATTAAATGGTATTTGGAGCTATCCCTTTGTTATATTTTTCATATTTATTCGAGCTTTCACTTTTATGCACATGTCTTACAATCGTAAACAATCGGTATGTATACATGATAAATAGATCCGTTTTGTTATGGTGTTGGACTTTTTACCCACCAATGATCAGCAATCGCTAGACAAAATAGTTCTCCGAAATAATGTCAGCCTTTCATGCCATTTCAACTTTACAATCATTAAAAAAGTAATAATCGGAATCATTTTGATATCCATTGGATAGAAACTGGTCTTTATCCAGATTTACGAAGATTTTAATAATCGGACATTAGTAATACGGTTAATTATACCCACGCGGTGCGTATGAATCTTTGTTTACAAAGTTATAGCAGCAGAGTCTGTAACTGTATCATTATTGATTAACTACACTGTTATTGTACTTAATATGATGAAAACTGCATATGCAATATAAGATGTCAACTCGCCCAATACAGATTTTTTTTTTTTGACTCACAATAAACAAGCTGAAACGTTCAGTATGGCATATATTTTAGGTTAAAGACGGTCCCATTCATTTGAAAAGCATTTTGAAAGTACACGATGGAATTATTTCAGGTTTGGGGAACGAGTAAATTATCACAAAGTTCATTTCTTGACGACCTCATAATTTCATCATGTCGATGGTACAAATCGTTTTTACTGTTTACTTTCGCTTCTCATGTTTTGTAAACGGTCTTTTATTTTTTAACCCGAACCAGGCATATGCATTCTGTAATTGTGCAAATCTTCGTTCTTTGGTCAATTGGCTTATATATAGTTGTATCAATTTCAACTCTTACATTATTTTTTTTTAAATATATTTGCATTACAAATGCAATGGCAGTACCTTTCCAATTACTATTTATGTGTTGTGTCTAAATTAAAGTTGTAACACTTTATAGTGACTGGAAAGGGTAGAAAAATTCATCAGATGAGAAAAGGCTGAAGATACATGGAAACGGCACCAAATCATAAGATATTGCATCTTATAAAAAGAAACCGAGATTTGGATACTTCCACTTCAAGGTAAAAATGTTTATCTCTTGTGAAATGAAATAAAAAAATATTGTAACACTGTAGTTAATTAATAAAGATACTATTACATGTATTTCTGTATTGTCCTTATTGTTTTGTCCTCGGCCAGCAGTATTGGCCTTCGGCTTCGCCTCAGACCAATACACCAAGACATGGACCAATAACAAGGACAATACAGAAATACTTACGCAATAATATTATAGAATGACAGTATGGTTCAATAGCGGGAATCAGCCCCTCAACTACTTTTTACATAAATATTAACTTCTGGCTTCATATCCTTGTTCGTCTTGTCTGGAGATGTTGTTGTAGTTCCAGTTAGGCAAGCATTTTAGAGACGTATCCCGTCCATCCTCTCTTGACTTGTAATTTCTGGTGATAGATTTTGCCGCTTGACGTTGTATCCTTTCAAGCTTGTTTTTTTTGTTACCGTGTAGGGGTCCCATACTATGGCTCCATATTAAATTATAAGATCCATTCCTAAAGATCTAGATCATTGTTCTAATCTGACACAAATTTCAATAACTGGAATGCTACCCAAGTTGAATGTATGGTGACCTACTAGAACAGCATTATCACTATTGAAATTGTGTTTAATACCATGATTGTTCAATGTCATTAACTTAAATGGAGACAGACATTTGACCTGAAAGGTGGTGTGGGAGTGCAAAATCAAAAACTAACTGACTATGATATATGGTTAAAGAATGAATATCAATTACATGGGTCAACATGGTCAAGGGCAGAGTTGTTATGAAATAACAATATGGCAGAGAAGTGGTTTCAAGTTTCATATAAAGCGACCTGACTGACATGAAATAAAAAATCAAAGGAGTATCCCTATTTGTCTAATCTTCAAGGTGAAATAAAACTAGTAAAACAATATTATACTATTGTCTAAATCTACAGAAATAATTTGCTTCAAGTAACAGAAATAACTAGGTCACTAGTAACTTATTTAATGAGTATGTGGGGTATAAGAGCTTGATAACAACAGGCTCTTCATAATCATTTGGTTTGAAAAGGATACTAGTAGTCTATATTCTTGATTTAGAAAAATGTAATTGCAAGACAAAAATCACATTACTTAGAATACTTTAGATCATTCAGGTAGTCTTTATTTATATGTGCAAAAGAACAGCCAGTAGTCATTGGATATTGTAGATCATTCGGGTAGTATTGACCTATTTATTTATAGAAAAAAACAGCCAGTAGTCATTGGATACTGTAGATCATTCAGGTAGTCTTGACCTTTACATTTGTACTAGCCAGTTGTCATCTTCACATAACACACACATATACGAATATCAATTATATGCTTACGAGACATGTTGGAATGTTAAACTAATTACGGTATGTGAAAATCAAGACTTGCATAAAAAATATCACAATATTAGAGACAGTGGCGTCATTTTTCCTCAGAGCTTTCAGCTCTTTGATTAGATGCATAAAGTCAAGATATGAGGCCGACTTAACTATCTCAAACTGAGGGGAAACTGATTTTACATCTATAAATTACACCCAACTAATGTGAGCAATACAAACTAAGGGAACATCTGATCTTTACATACATGACTTGCATTCACCTAATGTGAAGAATACAAACAAAGGATGGGGAAGAGTGTAGAAGTAGTTCATGTACTGTATCCCTAACCTGTTAATACTGAAGGTTATGTGAGGACCCCGCACGTGACAAATTCCAATCTTAATTGACTAGGAATGTCAGTTTTCCATCTGAAGGTTGCAGTCACTCTGTCTTCTTCCACCATTTAAAACTGACCGCTAGGATATAGCCAATTGTGCTGAAAGTGGCGTTAAAAGACCTACTATCAAACCAAGGAATATCGGAGCTTAAAATACATAACTTGCATTCACCTAATGTGTATAATTTAAACTGAAGAATTTCTGATCCTAATTTCCACGACTTGCATCCACCTAATGTGTATTATTAAATAAATTCATCACAGATACCAGGATTGATTGTCTACAAATGAGTCATCAGTGACGCAGGAACAAAAAAAAAGTTAAAAAGACCAAATAATGTACGAAGTAGATGATCATTGTGAACCCAAAAATCCTAAACGTTTTGCCAAATACAGTTAGTGTGTTTAATTCAAAATAAGGAAATATCAGATGTTTACATTCATGACTTTCATCGACTTAATGTGAATGATTCACACTAAGGAAACATCTGATCTGTATATATGTTGTGTACAAGTTATCATTCTGTACAAATTATAATTTGTATTTTGATTTTGTACAAATTGTAATTTGTCCA